TCATCATATGCAAAAGCTCATAAGCACTTCAAAGAAACGACTGGTGCCATTAGGGCCTTGATCCATGATTGGGACCTCTAGATACTATTGTGACATTTGGGGAAGGTTTATATTATAGTCAGTTTATTGATTTCATGATGCACCCAATCCAATCTCATTCAACAAATCCTATGATCCTGTATTATAGATAAGAATAGTATTCTATTCAGGTAGCAAATATTGACATTTCTGGGAGTAGTTGGTGGATGAAATTACCTAGCTACCCTTGCAGTTCAGGTTTTTTATTGCCCACCATTCGCTATGTCCAAATTATAGTCCCTATCCTTGAAGATGCTGAGTTGAAGTTACTTAGCACATTGTAAAATTGGTAGAGCCTGGAAATCTGTGGATCATGTTTGTGGATTGCAGATCAGATGTGGATACAAACTTTGTATTCGTGCAGGGCTCTAAAAATTGAGTCCAGGGTGGTCTATGTTCTGTTTTCAGTTACACTGCTGTCACACCTCCATTGATTTAAGTGTAGTTGCTCCAGGGTGGGGTTTGTTTTTGTTTTTTTGGCTTGGTTTAGTTTGGTTTTTTTGAAACAGTGTAACTGTAGACTGTAGCCCTGTCTAGTTAAGAAATAGAAACCTTCAGATGGAACTGCATACGCTTGCGCGTGTGTTTATATGTACAGATTTGTTCTATCAAAGGAATAAGATTATGTGGCAAAAATATGATACTTTATTACAACCTGTCCTGTGAGTGACTAGTAAAGCTTTGCTAACTAATGAAGTGGATTAATGTCCTGAGTAGAGCTGGGTGGAAACAGGATTTTCCATTTTGCGGAAATTCTGCAATATAAAAAAAAAAAACGTTGCAGGTCACTCAATGTTACATTTTGTTTTGATTTTGACCTTTACTTTTTTAATGTTTTTATAATAAAAATGAATTCCATTTCATTTTGAAACACAAATTCAAAAGTTTTCATTCTGAAAAGGTCAACATGGAACATTTCAACATTATCAAAATGCTTGGTTTTTTTTTCCTAAATAAATGGTTTTTCTGAATATGACATGTTTTTCATTGAAAACCATTTTGACAAAAAATTTCCAATCAGTTCTAATCCTGAGTTCATGGTACAGTCCCAAAGCCTTAAAATTCCTTCCACCCTGTAAGATGGTTTCTGTTGAATAACAGTGAGTTCATATGAAAAAGAATTTCCCTTCCTGCAAGAAGCAGCAAAGAGTCCTGTGGTACTTTATAGACTAACAGACGTATTGGAGCATGAGCTTTCATGGGTGAATACCCACTTTGTCGGATGCATGAGTGCTATAGAAATCCCTACCAAAAATACAACAACCCACACAACCCTAAAATCATCATCAACAACAAAAACCCTTCAAAAACAAGGATTGGTTTGGCAGGACTACATCACATATAAATACCTATTTTCGAACTTATACTACCTGGGGGAATATGACCAGTGCTTAATTTGTAATAACAGAGACGTGTGTCTCACCCATTGGTGCTTAGGAGAAGAACTACATTTGTCTCAAAAGAGAATGTGAAAATGGCTGGCATTTGGACCACCCTTGTAGAGTTAGGGATTTTTGAGGTGAAATTCATTAAGAACTGTTAAGTATTTTGAGATTCTTGCAAATTGCTATTGGCTCAGCTCCATTTGAAGTCATTGAAGCTGATGGAGCTCTGCTGATTGACACTCGCTGAGGATCTGGCCATATATATGCATAGTGCAAAGTATTTGTTAAAGAGCAAGAAAAAACAAAACCCTGATGATTAATTTAGTCTTGGTTTTCTTTAGAGCTTGAGTCTTTAGCGCTATTCCACAGTTGGATTCATACAAGAGCTGCAGTATTTCTCATTGTTTAAATCAATTCATTTGCATTGTGTTGAGTACTCCCATGCTACAAGATGCTTAAATTGTGAAAAATAAGCTCTTTCTTCATCTTACTGGCAATGTACTGTAAACCACAGCATATAAAATAAGCCATGATGCAAATGATTTCATTAAGTTATTAGATTCTATGAGATTAATATTAACAACTGACATTGCTCCATATAACAATAGAGGCTTTTCATTGGTACAGCTAGTTTTAAAATAGTGTGTTGTCATTCTTATCATTTAGTACCAGATGAGAGTAATAAGAAAAGAGCTTCCTCCATCGAACAGCTGGGAACCCCAGCTTCATAGATAAGAGAGGTTGTGTTAGTTGTGACAAAGAGTGAAATGTACTCATTTTTTTCTAGGAATAATGAGATCTACATGGAAATGCAAAGACCAATTTAACAAATTTGTACAGGCATTAATCTTATGTTTTAAGCTCATTTTAGAAAATGTGGACCTAATTCATGCTTGCTGTAACTTACATTTTCTTTCTGGGTTTTGAATAATCACATGTGGCTATTTTTTGTCATGAGAAAAAATTAAACAGAATGATCAAAATACTGAAAAGAATTGGTTCAAGTCAGGGTCAAGACCAGAATATTGTTATTCTAAGGTACGGAATAAAAACTTGGGGCTTCCCTTGGTGTGAACATTTTTAAAGGGGGAGAATAGAGATGGGGCACATTTCTGTAAAGCATATTTTTAGTCTTATTTTGGGGGTGAGTTTCAGGGAGTGGAGGGGATCCAGCAACCACCATCACTACAGCAGAGTTAGAAGGCCATTACAAGTCAGTGCAACCTCGAGCCCCTGAAGACATGATTACTTGCACTGGGGCTGAACCTATCCTCAGCTCTTCCCACAATTGGAGGTGCAGAACCATGGTGGAAAGCCACCTTCCCCTTCACCTCCCAGGTTCACCAAAGACTGTTTTGCTGCATGTGAGGATTCAGACCTTAGTCTGTAAATCACATTGTTCAGCTCTGAATAATGGGGTTTTACCTATCTTACATTGCATACGCTGAACGGCTGGACTCTAGCTTGAAAACATAGGCCATTTCTACACTACAAACTTTGGTTGAGGGAAATTGGATCAACATACAGCTGCCCAAGTTTGTATATTGTTTGGGTGCATGAATACTTGGCTTCTTGCATTAACACTGCATATACGTACCAGAAGTGCTTATGTCAATGTAAAGTGCAGTGCATCAGAGGTAGATATCCCAGTGCATTCCCTGTCCTGCCATCCAGTACAATGCCTTTTAGGACTTTTTGCAATGTTTTGTGCTATAGTAATGACATGCCACATATCTCTGTGAGCTAGGGCTCAAGTTCTTCACATGCAGTTTTCTCGGTCCCACAATGCCATCCATATACCATATACATGCCTTCTTAAAAAATCTCACAAACCCATGTGGTACGGTTTGGTGTCTGGCATCTCTGACCGAAGCATGGAGCCTGCAGAGTTCTGCACTATTCTCATGAACATTGCTAACATAGGATGCATGATTCTCCTATATTTGCAGACCTTCAGGAAGTACCACAGCAACTGAGGACATGAGGAGTTCTTCTAGGAAAGTTTGCTGAAGGACACAGCAAAAAACAATTCATGGAGCAGCTGCAGATGGTGGCGCACCACTTGTGGGCTTGAAAAATGAGCACTGACTGGTGGGACTGCATGGTAATGCAAGCTTGGGATGATGAGCAGTGGCTGTAGAACTTTTGGATGTGAAAGTCCACATTCCTGGATCTGTGTGCTGAGCTTGCCCAAGCCCTCCAGAGCAGGGATACCAGAATAAAAGCTGCCTTGACAATGAAGAAGTGAGTGGCAATTGCATTCTGGAAGTTTGCAATGGCAGATTGCTACCAGTCAGTGGGAAATCATTTTGGAGTTGGAAGATCCACAGTAAGGGGCTATTGTCATGCAAGTGTGTAGGGCCATTAATTATCTCCTGCTATGCGGGACTGAGACACTTGCAGGAAACAATGCATGGATTTGCAGCAACTGGGCTTCCTAACTGTGGTGGAGTGATAGAAGACATGCATATCCCTATTTTGGCATCAGCCTACCTTGCCACACAGTACATCAACAGATGCATGTTTCTGTGGTTATGCAAACATTGGAGGATCACATGGGATGCTTCACTGATATCAATACGGGCTGGTCAGGGAAAGGGCATGCCACTAGCATCTCTAAGAACACAGGACTGTTCAGAAAATTGCAAGAGGGGATATTCTTTCCCAACTGGCAGATTATCATTGGTGATGTTGAAATGGCAATAGAGACTTTGGGAGACCCAACCTACCCATTGCTCTCCTGGCTCATAAAGTTGTACCCTGGCCACTTTGACAGCTGATATGATTTTGGTAGATTGAAGGAAACTGGTAGTATTTACTCACAAGATTGGATCTCAGTGAGAAAAATATCCCAGGGTTTATAGCACCTGTTGTGTCCTGCATAATATCTGTGAGGCAAAGGGGGAGAAGCTGCTACCAGATTGGAGGGTGAGCAGCTGTCTGCTGAACTTGAACAGTCATGGCAAGAGCCCAGTGTGGAGCTATGCAGTTGAGGGAGGTGCTGAAAGGCCACTTTAACCACCAGCCACAGTTGAGTTTGCTGCTGGAGTGTTATCTGGTCCTGGAGCTTCGTGGGTTGCTAAGAATTGTATAGTGCTCACTGTACATTTATAAATGTGACTAGGTGTTTTCCTGAAGTTATGAATTCTGTGGTGTTTGCTGTGCATTTAGAGTACTGTTTGCTTTGACTTCTGCTATGCATTCTGCAATATTTGCTGTGAACTAATAAAGATAATTTGATTCTCCAAAAATAGAACTTTACTGAGTGGAAACAACCAGTGCAGAAAACCAAAGTGGAAAAAAACCCCACAAGAATATACAAATTTTTAACATAACTGAGTGGGATGAAAATGTAGAAATATAAAGGAAGTAAACATATATGTCTATTTGAGTGAACAAAAGTTGTCTGTTGCCGCTACACATACACTGATCTGTGAAAACTATAATCGGTATATGTGAAGCTGTGGTTTTCCTTGCTGTCGCCCGGTGTGAAGTGGTAGGGGTAAGGATGTGGTCCATGATGCCAGATGGTACGTTGGGAAAGGAAGCAGTGACCATGGAGTTCTCCAAGGACTGCAAAGTGTGGAGAGTCTAGGATTTTTGGATCTGTAGGCCAACCAGGGTCTGTAGTATTTAGATTTGCTGGTTGGAAGACCCACTATGTCCTAGTGCATTTCCTGGCCATTGTCCTGCTGGGACCCCTGGGCCTTTTTCCTGTCCTTTCTGTCTCTGCTGTTGGCCTTATTGACCTGTCAAGCCCTTTGTCTGATGCAGCACTATCTTACAGGATCTTGAAGAATGTCTTCCCTAATTCTCTTCTTTCTCCTCCTAGTTAGGGTCGGTGTTCTCTGGGCAAGGAATACGCCAAAAGCTGGTGATAAAAAAAGATGTACCATTAGATTTACAGTCACACTGGAAAGAGAAAGATAAGTTTCCAAACTCCCTTCCCTTATTCCCATAAACATTTTTAATATGAAATACTTATTGACACTTCAGCTTTAGGGCACCTCAACACAGCACCGCTCCCCAGGGCTGGAAGGGATGAGGGGGTAAAGGATTTTCTGTTGCATGAAGGTATAAAATTTCATGGGTACAAGTATAGAGCAATGGCACTGAATATTTACTGCAATGGTGTTTACTGCAATAGTGAACTCATCTCAGAGGGTGTGGGAAAGTGTGTGTGGGTCTTCCAACCAGCAAATCTAAATGCTACAGACCCTGGTTGGCCTACTGCGGAGAAAGAACGCAGCCATCCCTAGAAACCTTTGGGAGAGGATTGCAGAGTACCTCCACGAAAGTTTCATTGAGATCTCTCAGGAGGATAAAAGGGATGTCCCTATTCACATAAAGTGCTCTGCAAGCGCTGCTCCTACCTCCTCACCCCCACCTAACCCAACAGGAAAATGAAAAACTGATGCTGACTTTACCTCTTTTTTTCATGCCACTACCTCTTCTAGTACAAGTAAAACAATGAAAAGTTGATACCTGTATCTTGTTAACTTGGGGACAGGACGGGCACCATCTTTAAATGTAAACATTGTCAGGAAAAATGCATTCACACACTTACCTGAGTTCCCTTTCTCTTCATCAGGCTCATCCACCCTCCCCTAAAGGGACTGTCTAAACTGTGGCAGAGTCTCAAACAGGTCCTGGCTCATGGCAGGGCTGGAGTCCCACACTGTCTCCCTCCTCATCCTCCGCACTGTCCACAGCTGGGGTCTCTGTCTTGGGCTCCTTTGAGATATCCACAGTTGTCTGCAGGGTCCTAGTGAGGTTTCCACCACCTATGCCATGCAGTTTGTTGTAGAAGCAGCAGGTGTGTGGCACAGCATCAGATCTACCTATTGCGCTCTCTGGCCTTGTGGTATCCCTGGCAAAGTTTCTTCACTTTCACACAGAACTGCTGCTGATCGCTGTCAAACCCTTTGGCCTGTATTACCAGTGCAATTTCTACAGCTGGTCCATTGCTGTGCTTGCACTGACTCTTCTCCCCACCTGCTCAAGAGAGCCAATGCTTTCTGTGTTCTGCAGGCAGGAGTGCGTAGAGCTGGCCCAGTCAGTTGGGCAGTTTCACACAACAAAGGTGAGCTGCTAGGAAAAGGTATTTCAAAAACATGCAGGAGATGTTAAAGGGTGGGGCAGTGGCTTTTAGTCTCTGTGACCCCAGTCACAATTTTAAATTCCCCTGCCCACAGAGATCATTGTCGCAAGGAATGAGGAAATTTTGGGATAGCTGCAAGAGGACGATTAAGGTTGACACAGGTCATGCAGTGTCTTTATTTGCACTGCATCACCCTCAGTAGGTCATCCACAGCACTATGCCATTTGGGGAAATGGTTTCACTGCTGTAACTGGGCGCTTATGTCAGCTGGAGACAAATTTAAGTGTAGACACATGCACAAATAGATTGATGCAAGATGACTTACATAAACCTAACTTTATACCGCAGATCAGGCCATAACTAACATCCACGTTGCAACTGCTGCTGAACGTGGCCCAGTAACTAAAGCCTACCAAATATATATGTGTGTATCATATGTGTGTACACATATATATTTGGTAGGCTTTAGTTACTGGGCCACGTTCAGCAGCAGTTGCACATACATATCAAACATTCTATTTACATATATTTTCTTGATCTTCAGCAGTCAGTTTTTGGAGCATTGTTTGACATAGAAATGGCATTCATAATTTTGGTTGATAGTCTGCTCCTAGCGAGGGATGCTGAAATTGTGTCTATGCAGTTTTTATTAAATCTGTCATCTGCCTTGCATACTATTGACTATGAGGCATTGAAGACTTATTTGAAGTGCCTTGCTGGAACAGCAGTTTGTAGTCCAATAACCAATTTAAGTTCACTTTCTGCCGCAAATACTAACTTGAGAGTGTTAAAGAGCTCCCAGTTGACGTCCTATAATATAAAATAAGAATTGAAAGTTGCTGTGTGAACACAAAAGGCTGCTTGAAAGGGCAAGGGACTTTCTTAAAAGAAATATTTAGCATGTTATACTGCTCCTAACACAAAAATGGTGAAGGAAGCCAAGGCAAAGTCCCCTGTGCAAAGCAGTGCCACATGAGGGCCAGAGAGGGCAGTAGCAAGCAAGAAAAGATAGCAACCTGAAAACTGTATTTTGAAAAACAGCTGTTTTATAATGCATTTTCATGATTGCTCTCAAAGCACTTTACTGAGGAAAGTAAGTTTTACGGCACTTTATAGTTGGAAAAAGTAAGGCATAGAGAGGTAAAGTGGCAAGGCCAACCAGTGGGGCAGTGTTGGAGCTGGAAATAGAACCCTATTGTCTTCTCTTATTATTAGCTAATAGTGACCCCTATATTTGGGTTGCTTAACACATTTTATTATAAAAGATTTTTGCAGCCTTCTTTTGAGATACTCTAGCACCTCTAGCGTTGTTTGTAGCAGGCATTTGAAATTTGGCATTTGAAAAAAGCCCTCAGGCTACAGAAGTACCTTCTCTTTGTTCCTTAAAATTCCATTCAGGTTTTGCTGAGATTAAAGTCTCTGAAATATCCATTTCCCTTCTCTCACTAGCATTGTTCAGGAAAATGTTGGCAACATGCTGAAATAACAACACAATGTGAACATTCTAAAGAGCTGGCCCATCCTGCTACCAAAGCAGCAGCAGGGGCAGTAGATTAATAGATTCTAGGACTGGAAGGGACCTCGAGAGGTCATGGAGTCCAGTCCCCTGCCCTCATGGAAGGACCAAATACTGTCTAGACCATCCCTGATAGACATTTATCTAACCTACTCTTAAATATCTCCAGAGATGGAGATTCCATAACCTCCCTAGGCAATTTATTCCAGTGTTTAACCACCCTGACATTTAGGAACTTTTTCCTAATGTCCAACCTAAACCTCCCTTGCTGCAGTTTAAGCCCATTGCTTCTTGTTCTATCCTTAGAGGCTAAAATGAACAAGTTTTCTCCCTCCTCCTTATGACACCCTTTTAGATACCTGAAAACTGCTATCATGTCCCCTCCCAGTCTTCTCTTTTCCAAACTAAACAAACCCAATTCTTTCAGCCTTCCTTCATAGGTCATGTTCTCTAGACCTTTAATCATTCTTGTTGCTCTTCTCTGGACCCTCTCCAATTTCTCCACATCTTTCTTGAAATGTGGTGCCCAGAACTGGACACAATTGCCCAGAACTTTACACAATTTAGTAGACACTTTACTGGGAATGCTGAGAGCTGTAGGGTTAGGGAAAGAGTTGGGTTGGGCTGGGCTCCCTCCCCCAACCCCATCCTGCAGCCAGTACAGGGTGCCAGCAGCCCATTTCCCTTCTCTGCAATAAATCTTCTTCTGCCAGGTAATGAAATTATCCCAATAGTTCTTCTGGTCATAGAAATCTCTGCTGCAGTGCTGAAGGTTCAAGGTTTAAACCTGATGATGATGTTGGGGCAGGGGGGGATTATAACCGTGGCGTATAATACAACTGTTTTTTACTTCTTTTTAATGCTAGGAAATTATATACCAAAACTATGTTAAAAGAATGTTGTTTGTTGCAATATAAATAATACAAATATAGACATTTTGAGAAATATAATATTTGGGGTTAACTCCTGCCCTTGGATACTAAAAATACATAAAACTATAATGGACTTCAATGAGAACAATTTGGCCCTTAAATTGTTCACTGTACACATAAATGAGTGAAACAAGAAATGCCCTGTTCAATGCTATCTTTTAGCCATTATTCATAGAGAGGTAAAGTGGCTAAGTTCAACCAGTGGGGCAGTGTCCCCTTTAATAAAATTAAGAAACCATGGGATGCCCAATATGTTATGCACCTTTTATGGGCATGTTCTTCAGCAATACTCAAAAAACTAAGTAGAACTCATTAACAAATAGAGGCTTAAGTGCTTTTTACACTAAGAGGTCTATTCAGTTTATGTGAAAGTCCATTAATATAAATAAGAGCTACACAGATGTATCAAGGGGAAAATGTACACTGAGTAATTATTCATTATTTCAAAATACAAATGAACTCTACTCTCTTTCACTAATATGCACATAGTCATAGTTTACCCATCTGCTTCTAGACCTGTGATGCAAAATATATTTAGACTGCTAAGAAAGAACAAGTTTTTAACTATTCTTGTCAGGACATACATTATGAATGTGGTGATGTATTATTTTTTGTTTCTTGGAGGTTTTTGAAGCCTTCCTGGAATTAGGGGCATATTTAATACGCTGTGTACAGCATACTAAATTCTAAATTATTTATGGA